ATTATGTTGGTCAAGTTACCTAACCTCCCTTTGCCTTGGGTACCTCATCAGTAAAGTGGGGAAAATAATAGAACTGATTTCCTTCATATATGTAAACCTTTTGTAGAAGTGAGAAGCTAGAAAAGACAGCATTTAAAAGCATCAATTCTGGGGCGCCTGGGTGGCTCAGTTGGTTAAGCATGTGCCTTCGGCTCAGGTCATGATCCTGGAGTCCCGGAATCGAGTCCTGCTTTGGGGCTCCCTGCTGAGCGGGGAGTCTGCTTCTCCCTCTGACCGTCCCCCTCTCATGCTCTCTCTCTCTCATTCTCTCTCAAATGGATAAATAAAATCTTAAAAAAAAAGCATCAATTCTGAAATAGATTGCCTGGGTTCAGATCCCAGCTCCACCACTCATTTGCTCATATGATCTTCTAAAAATTGGGTAGTTATAGTACTAGCCTCAAAGATGAAATGTGCTAATGCATGGATGGATCTAACAGGGTCAGCACATAGTGCTATACGGAGCCTGCTGTTATATTACTAATTGTTTCTGGGAAAAGTCTCAGACACTGTTTATAAGGATATGGAAATTAAAAAATTAAAAAATTTCCAACATTAATTTTTTTTTCCTGTGTTTGGTTCTATTAACTATAAAAGTCACATCATAGTGATGTTGGGATTTCCTTCATTTTCTAGGCCATGTCCTAGACTTTGGCCATGTCCCTCATTTAACATTTTCTCTCTCTTTTTTAAGGATTAGATATTGGTGTATATTTTACTGAATCTTTATTAAGACTCTTTTATTCCCTGCTTTACTTCAAGTTCAGCATCCAATTCTTTTCTTTTTCTGAAAGAAACAAGTCAATGAATTTTAAAGGCTGCGTACAGAAGGGATTCACACACATTGGAAGGATGATAAATGAAAAACATTTATTTGGGGTAATTTCTGATTCTGTCTCTTCTCCCCTTTCCTCAGAGCATTCATTTCAGTGTTTTTGCCATTCGTTTACTCCTTCAGTATTTATTGCGGAGGCTTGTCAGGCCCTCTGACAGGTGGTGGAAAATCGGGGTTCTGACATTCGAGTGGTGTCTTACAACTTACTGATCTTTCACGTTGAGTTTATTCAGTCCTCCGAGGCACTCACTTCATTTCACCCAGCTCTTCCTCCCTTTTTAACTTTATATTTCTCACAACCATCCTCATTTCTTTGCTCAGATCTTTAGTGTGCAGAATATTTGCCAAGTGCATGGGGGGCGCAGTGGGGTGGGAAGTTGACTGGAAGAGAAGGTGGTAGGTGGGGGGAGATACAAATCAGATGAGAATGTAGGTCAGAGAGGTTTCCCATACCTTAACACTTTAGGACGAAAGGACAAAGCACTGTCTCTTATTTAGGAAAGTCCAAAGAGTCACTTGCAAAGGAACAATGACCATCCATCTACCCATCACCAGAAACTGGATTGAGACTAGACACAGAGCTGGCGATTTCCCAACTCCTCCCTTACCTTAAGTATATTAACATACGCAAGCCAGAGTTATGGCCCTCCCTTCGCTTATAAACACGCAGGCCCTTAAGTCCCAGCATTAAAGTTCCCCAATTACACTTCTTGAATTTCATGATACTAACCAACAGACAAGAAATAGAACATACCAAATTGGCCAGAAAAGTATTTCTCCAGTCTCAGATCACCTGTGTCATTCATTACTATGCCCCTCATGCACAACCTAGACTTCTGTGAGGAAATACCAGTGGCTTCCTGCAGTAGGACTAGCTTGTGGTGGATGAACGGGTTATGTCAGTTGGTAGAGACTGAAGGTAGTATGCTGCCGGTGTGCAGGCATGCAGCGTCTCTCACATTTGAGCTTATACTGAGCTCTTCAAGGGTACTTTGAAGATTCACAAGATACAAGCAGATGATAATACAAGCAGATGATAACCACAGATAAACTTATACTGTTGAAATGTACCAAGCTCATTCCTTACCTAGATGCCTTTAACTTGCTTTGCCCTCTGCCTGGAATGCTCTTCCTCCAGGACTGCCCATGGTTCTCTCTTTCTTGTCATTCAGCTCAAATGTCACTTTCATGGAGAGGCCCTCCCGGCCAGTCTATACAAAGTAGTATCTCCACTCTCAGTCCCTCTATCTCATTTCACAATTCTATTTACTTCATGGCATTTATCTCTACCTAAAGTGGACTTACCTATCTATATACTTATTACCTCTCTTCCTCACAACACTGTAAGCTCCAAGAAGGCAGAGATTATTTTTTAACACACTAAATAGAAGGCACTTAATGTATATTGGTCAAATGAGCAAGTGAGCAACAGATACTTATTGAATATGCCTATTATATGCCACTGCTATTCTAGGCACTGGGGATGTGCTAATGAATCAAGCAAACTCCCTGAACTCTTGGAGTTTGCATTCTAATGCAGGGAAACAGAAAACAGAAGGGGAAGCTGCTTGGGTGGGGCTGCGCTATATTAAATAAAGTGATCAAGGTCTTGCTGCAGTTTTGAAGAAGGTGAGGAGGGAGGCACCTGAAGAAGGTGAGGAAGATAAGGTGGGGGAGGGTAAGCCTTTTAGCAAAAGGGATAGGGAGCGCAAAGGTCCTGAGCAAACAGTGGGGTGGCTGAAGTGGCTAAAGCCAGCAAACTGCTGGGTGAGTGGCAGCAGATGGGTGGAGAGGTGCTGGGGCAGCGGGGGGGGGGGCCAGCTCCAATCCTATAGAGTCTTGTAGGCCAATGAAAGGAGTTTGTTTTTTATTCTTTTGTGAAATGGGAAGCCACTGGGAGGCTTTGAGCACAGAGACATGATCTGATTTAGGTTATAAGAGGATCTCTCCTTTTGTTCTGGTGATAAAATATTGTAGGGGACAAAGGGGGATGCAGTTAGCAGACAATAATGCAATAATCCAGGTAAGAGATGATGGGTGGCTTGGTCCAGGGTGGTGGGTAGGGGGCGGTGGGGGGGAAGAACTTGTTAATAGTCTGGAAGTATTTTAAGGGCAGAACTGAAAGGATCTGCTGGTACAATGAATAAAGTAATGATATAAAAATATGTACAGAAAGAAGGCTTTTCTGGGGTTTATAGAAAAGAGACTGGTTTTGTCAGTTTCGTGACACTGATATGCCAAATAGTAGCACAACCATCTAGAAATTCAACATTGGAACTTGGGACTTTTTGTGTCATCTATTATTTCTCCCAAAGAACAAACAAAAAAAGAACGGTCAAATATATTCAGTATCAAAGTCTGTACTTGCAATTAAGTGAGCTGGTTTGGGGCTTGATCATATTTCAGCATTCTGACATGAATGAGATAATTGTTCAGCAGACATAAACATTTCAAAGTAAAAATGACACTTACCCATGAGAAGATTGTAAAGCTCATTGGGTAGTTACAACAAGGGTAAACATTTTTATCGAGAACAAATATCTCCCCTGATTTATCCTGACTGACGGTCCGTACTTCAAACTGATCTGACAACTGCTCAGACTTCTGACCCTTTGCCTACTGGGCTACACGGAAATTGCTGTGGATCTGATTCAACCTTGCATTCTTCACGATCTGGCGCTGGCAAATAGAGGTGCACAACACGTAGTCATTAACACGGTGATTTCTTAACATCCTTCACCGCCCTCTCTTCTGTCCTCGTTCTGTAGCGCTCAGTAGCGCTATATTTTACTTTCCGAAGTCAGGGTCAGATAATCACCACAAATATGCAATTTCTGAATGTGTTGGGCCTGGGTAGGCTGGCACGTGGAGGGAGCGATCCAGAGGGCTCCTGGGCCTGGGAAGCCAGGGAAGGCTTGGGGCGGTGCGGGAGAAGGAGTGCTCTGGGCTGCCGCGTGCCCCCTGAATGCAAATGTGGAGGGAGGAGTTACAGCACAGGTGGGATCTAGGGAAGGCCTTCCCAAGTACAAAGGCCCTGAGACAGACGACTGCCCGGAATGACCGCGGTGCACGAGAGAGCAGGCGCACCTGGACCTTTGGGAGGAGAAACACGCAGGGGCTGAAAGGTGGTTTTTCCAAATTACGTTAGATCCGTAAAACCTCCTTGTTTTGCGGCGAGATTCAGCGAAGGCTGAAAGGGCCCGGGAGGCGGAGCGGTTACTTCGGCCTCCCTACTCGCCCGGCAGGCTGGCCTCCATCCTCAGGGGAACGCGCCACCGGGCGCACCCAAGTTCTCCCGTGGCCACTGCAGCTCATTTCCTCCTACCTTGAGGTCTCTCAACCAATGAGTTTACCTCTTCACCCAGAAAATTAACTATCGGTGACATTTCTACGGCTGGAGAGTGAGGTGAGTTTTTTGTTTCTCGGGCTTTTTCGAGGCTACTCGTTAACGTCAACAGTATCTGGCCGCCTCCGGACTGGGGCGGCCCCTTCCTCCCTCCAGATTGTTGCCGGCTGTTGAGGACTTTCAGCAACAACACAACCGAACAGGGCAGCGGCACAGTCCCAGTGTTTAAAGCGGCCAGTTCCTGAGGCGACCGGGCCGAGGCGGCCGCGCACTTTTCTGCTGCCCGGGCGGGGGGAGCCGAAAAGTTTACGTCCTCCTTCCAGGCGGGGTTAGGAGGGGAGAGGGTGCAGTGACGGCCCCTCCGAAGGAAGCTCGTCTTCCGAAGCGGCCCGTCCCAGGCTCTGTCCATCTTGGAAGGGAAGAAAGTTGGGCGGCAGCGGAAAGGGTTCGAGCGCGGGCCCGGCGAGGTGGAGGTGGGGCGATTGGGGAGTCGGGTCGCCCCAGACGCGCGCGAGCCGGGGTGGAGCCAGCAGCCGGGCGCGGCGTCAGCGTTTAGGATGCAAATCGATTCCCCGCTCCGCCGTCCCCCCCCCCCGCCCCGCCCGGGGGAGCAAGGCTCCGCCGCTCCGCTGCCGCCCCCGCCTCCTGTGCGCCGCGGCGCCGGAGCGGGCGGCTCTACTTAAGCCGCGCGCCGACCGAGACCCGACACTCGCCTGGAGCGCGCGGGTGAGGCGGGCCGAGCGCACCGGGGTTCTCGGGGGCTCTGCGCGGCTCGCGGCGGCCGGAGCGCAGGGCTGAGCCAGCGTCCGGGAAAGGCGGCGGCGGCTTCGGCGCGCGGCCCCGCTCCCTGCCACCCCCCCAGACCGGCCACCTCTTTTGCCATGGCTCTGGCGGACAGCACACGTGGATTACCCAACGGGGGCGGCGGCGGGGGTGGCAGCGGCTCGTCGTCCTCCTCGGCGGAGCCGCCGCTCTTCCCCGATATCGTGGAGCTGAACGTGGGGGGCCAGGTGTATGTGACCCGGCGCTGCACGGTGGTGTCGGTGCCCGACTCGCTGCTCTGGCGCATGTTCACGCAGCAGCAGCCGCAGGAGCTGGCCCGGGACAGCAAAGGCCGATTCTTTCTGGACCGAGACGGCTTCCTCTTCCGCTACATCCTGGATTACCTGCGGGACTTGCAGCTTGTGCTGCCCGACTATTTCCCCGAGCGTAGCCGGCTGCAGCGCGAGGCCGAGTACTTTGAGCTGCCCGAGCTCGTGCGCCGCCTCGGGGCGCCCCAGCAGCCCGGCCCCGGGCCGCCGCCGCCGCACTCGCGGCGCGGGGTGCAGAAGGAGGGCTCGCTGGGCGACGAGCTGCTGCCGCTCGGCTACGCGGAGCCCGAGCAGCAAGAGGGCTCGTCGGCCGGGGCGCCGTCGCCCACGCTGGAGCCGGCTAGCCGCAGCCCGTCAGGGGGTGCGGCGGGCCCGCTGCTCACGCCGTCCCAGTCGTTGGACGGCAGCCGGCGCTCGGGCTACATCACCATCGGCTACCGCGGCTCCTACACTATCGGGCGGGACGCGCAGGCGGACGCCAAGTTCCGGCGAGTGGCACGCATCACCGTGTGCGGCAAGACGTCGCTGGCCAAGGAGGTGTTCGGCGACACCCTGAATGAGAGCCGGGATCCGGACCGGCCTCCCGAGCGCTACACTTCGCGCTATTACCTCAAGTTCAACTTCCTGGAGCAGGCCTTCGACAAGCTGTCCGAGTCGGGCTTCCACATGGTGGCGTGCAGTTCCACGGGCACCTGCGCCTTCGCCAGCAGCACCGACCAGAGCGAGGACAAGATCTGGACCAGCTACACGGAGTACGTCTTCTGCAGGGAGTGAGCTCCCCAGACCCCCTCGCGGCTCCAGCTCTCCCATCCCCCCTCCTTCCTGCCAAGGAGAGGATTATAGATCTCCCCTCCTATCCCACGCCTTTCCATTCCCCTGCCTCCCACCTTTAGTAGCTGGGCCAGGCCCACTCACCCCCCCCCCGCCACTTGAGAACCTGCAGCCGCAAATCCTCTCGGCTTCTTCGTCTTCTTTGGACCCCGCTAACCGAGAGAGCCTAGATGTACCCCCTCCAGTGCTTCCTTTGCCCCCTGACTCAAACCACCCCTCCCCTGAATTGTCCTTCAGTCTGGATCTAATGGGGGCAGTGTGGCCACAAAGTTACCAAGTACCTGGGGATGGCAGAATTGTTCAGAACCTGATTGGACCCTGTCCAGTGTGTAGAAGATTGAAATCCCAAGCCCTTTTGACTCATTCGAGGCTTAAGAGGTCAGAATTGAGAACACTGGGACTAGTTAGTGTTTTAAAAGGTCATTATGTAACCTTTTGACCCTTTTTAAAGGTAGAGTTTTAGAGGGCTGGATGGAAGACTCTGGACCTGGAATTAGGATCCCGTGGAGGCAGGTCAGTGACTACAAAATGACTAAAGTTTTTACAAGTTACAGGTAGAAGTAGGAAAAGAATCTAATGCTGGCACAATGAAGGATCCTATCTCTTCCGTGCACAATGAAAGATCTTCGCCTGTGGCTTAAACTTGTATAAAGTCACTCTCCTGCGTTAGGAGGCATCCTTTCTCCTTGGCTCCAGCGCTTGATGCGCTTAGTTCGACTGGTCGACATGGCCGCCCTTCCTGGCGGGAGGGAGCAAGAGTGCTGACGCCGGCAAGGGCCAGACAGCCCAGGTCACCAAGCACTGCGGGAAGTCACCTGGCCGTGACTGTAAACGGAGCTGGGTAGTAGTAATGCACGTCGTGGGTATTAAGAAAGCCCATATTCTTGCAGTGAATGGCAGTAGGACCTTAGCTCATAAGACTTGGGGGGTGGGGTGGGGAGGGAGGAAGGAGGGGTGAAGGGGTGGGAAGGGAGGAGCAGACACATTCATTTATTATTTGAAAGGTGGAAGTTTGTGCCATCCGTTCGAGTACACGCACATTTAAAAAATAGTACACACAAACATGCAAAGCATTTTATAAAGATTAATAACAGATCCATTCTTATCTGGCAGTTTAATGAACTAACTGTTTTGAGTCCGAAACTTAGAAGTTGCTGATACTTACATAACCAAAGAGTTACCCAGTAGTTTTTGAACTTTAGTTTCGTTTTTTTTTAAACTTTATTTTCTTGTTGATTATAAATCCTGATTTTAAGATCTATTAACAAGCAAAATCTGTTTGATTTTGGTTAAACTTAAGATCTCTTCCTAAAAATCCGTATTTTCTTCAAACCCAGCCAATGTTGACTTCTGGGCAAACCCCGAAATCCTGAAAATGCCATTTCTTTCCTGCAGATGGTTTGAAATGAAGGTGGAATCTTTTTGGGTGACAGCTGCAGAGCCATAGAAGCACCAAGGGCTGCCCATCTGTAGGTAGCTGTACAATGACATGTTTTTAAACGAAGGTGAAAAAGTACTTACAAGTGGGCTGAGCAATAAAATGGTGTTTTAGGTAAATGCAAGAGAAACAGAAGGAGACCTGGTTGCCTTATACCTTTACTCTAACATGGAATAAATCCCCACTGCATATCCTGCCTACACCTTAGGTGAAGGGAAGTAAATCCTTGTCTTTCATGCTGTGTGGCTCCTTTGGATATTCTGTGATGACGGAGAAGCCTTTCCTTTTTCATTGGTTTAGCAGTTTCTCTGAAGTATGTTTTTAAAGATTTTGTAAGAGTCGTTTTCAGTGTTCAAATTAGTGCTATTTTTTCTTCTTTTTAAAAATGAATCTTGTACTGTATCTTACTATGTCCATAACAGATACTAAGAATTGGAACAGTTTTATTCTTAAGATTCATGTGATCCAATCTGTATATACCATATATAAACATTTTACACGAATCATTTAGTTTTTTAATTCATTTACTAATGCTAAAAGATTTCCTATATTTACCCCCAGTAACGTGCATCAGATGGTGTATATACTAAAGCAACATGTTTTCATGAGTTTCTTAGATCTTTGTCTCTGGGGACACCGGGTTAGGAAAAAATACATAGTTTTAAAACTGAGTTTGCTCCATACTTTTTTCCTGGCTATTAGTTATGTACGAATAATGTGTCCATTAACTGTCCACTTAAGATCGAGGTACCTGTATTTTTAACCCACTAATTCTATTTTTTTTTTTAATTGGTAAACAAAGATTTGAAGTCTTTTCATTGGAGTTACGTTTTTAGAAAGGTAAAGTTAGCTTTATGTCTGAAGACTGTAATTGTAAGGGAAATGGAAGCAGAAATCCAGGAAGTTGGGTGTGTTCTCAGAGTAGGTGATGCAACAGAGCTTATCTCTGTTCCAAGCCTGAAATGATTTAGCAAAGTCGCTTTCTGGACAAAACAGTGCCACAGAGATTTCTCCACGCTATATGGTGTTCTCTTAGATTGTGAGAAAAAAAACACATACTTGAGAACATTTTAGGACAGATCAAATCCACTGACAGATGGCAAGACTCTGGGATTCTGATTTTCCCTGTTAAATCTGCACAGCTCCGGGAGTCATGGGAAACTGCTGAAGTTTTGTTTGTGCCACTCAAGTCTTAATGAATTTTATCTTGTAAAACTTTGAGTTGAGCTGTTCCACTTCTTTGGGCATACGGATCTTACTTCCCCACACACCCTGGCTGCCCTGCAGTGCTCCCCTACCCCTTTCATTCTGTCAAAGACTGGGAATTTAAATGGTTAGAGACCTTAACTGACTTCTGTTCCTAGCGATGACTGTCCGCTCTAAGGTTGGCTGTTGAAAAATGAAAATATTCTACTTTTAGCCCAAAGTAAAGGCTGGGTAGGAAACTCATTCTATGCTGGGTGGATCCTATAACTGTGGTGAGGTGACTTAGCATAGGTACTTTGGGGTTCCCTCTCTTCCATGTGCCGTGGGCCACAGAAGGACCCTTGGTAGTCTACAAAGTGGGCTGGAGTGTCGGTGGTCACCTCTGAGCTTGGATGGGATATCGAGGGTCCATACGAGTAAGCCCTCCAAAGATACCATTCAAATAACCTGGGAGAATGTTATAAATGATTCAGATAATTATGACTGCAGGAAGCTGACCCAGTGTAGTGTGCATTTACCATGGCTTTAATGACTATTTGGTTCATAAGTACCAGGGAGTGACATGAGATTTAACAAATTTCATTAAAAAAAAAAAAGAATTGTTGACAGTGGTGGTTAAAAACACAGGTACCATGTTCAGTGCTTTTGCACCAGGTATTGGATAAGTCGCCTGTTTTTTAATACATGTAGACCATGAACCATAGTCAGTCTAATTTTTCAAATTGTACGTTGTAGAAAATACTCCTGGGAGGTGTGAGACTTAGACATTTTTTTTCCCTTTCAGTACTGTTTTTATTCTTGTGTTTCTTTTTTTGTGGTGATGGTGGTGGTGGTTTTTTGTTTTTTTTGTTTTTTTTTTGGCATTGATAGCAAAGTGAAAATTTGTAATACTAGCCAAAATTGTCTTCTCTTTCAAACCAGATCCATATATGGGGCCTGTTATTTCTCTGAGGAAATGCATAATCTGAATTCTCAGACAAAAATGGGCGACTGGCAATGCTCATAACATATTCAATTTTTATTGGACTTTTCCATGGAGTGTTATTACATTGAAGCCATGTAAGGTGAAGCTTTGGTAATTTTTTACTTTTTAAATTATGGTAAATTCTAATCTAATACTCAAAACATTTTGTACTCCACATGAAAAATGCTAAATTATGGTGCAAGATTTTAGAAAAGTATTGACTGGAGGGGTTGAATTCTGTAAGAATTTCTTTTATAGTCTCAATCATAATTACTTTACTCAATTGACTTAAATTTCTAAAATAGTAAACTGAATATTTTTTATTGTAAACTTAGCAGAGTAAATCCTTTGGAATTTCTTTTGTTTTTTCCTTATGATAACTCATTTAAAAACTGAATTAGTTTTCTTAGATGACGTAAGTCTGTCTTTTGAGAATAAATAAAATACTCTTGGGTTTTCAGTGGCTATAGTACCTGAGGCAGGGTTTCCTAGAGCCAAAAACAAGTTATGTTGAAGTTAACTTATCTTTGTCACAATTTTGGACAATAAAAATCTTAAAGATCTTTGAATTTGAAGATTTAGATTCTCTACTGGGGACCTTGAAACTTAGATGGAAGAAATCCAAGCAGACAATTTACATAAGAGTTTAATCTTGTGTGGTAGGATGATGAATAGTTGATCAAGAATCCTTGTCACCTTATACATTTTGTGTTTTATTTCCCCACAGGTCAAGTTTTTTTGTATTTTAAATGTATTTTGAGGTATGTGAGCATTAATTGTAAACTATTATACAACTGTCTTTGTGACTTTATAGGCAAGTGAATTTTGCCATTATTATTGAATACAAATGATATAATTCGTTTGCGACCACTCACCCATCATTAGTGACATTTAATGACGAAAGTTTAAGACGTCCATTGTGGATGTTAATTTTAAAGACATAAATTATATGTTATTTAAATTTTTCCCTACATATGAAAAACTCTTATCTGCCAAACAATCTAAGATTTCCACAGAGCTCCCTGGGATTATGCAATTGTTAAAAACGTTATATGCTAAGTGATACGTATCACTGAACCATTTTCTCAAAGTAGAAGGGGAAAGGAAAAAAATCATAACGATTATCAGACTTTTCTAATGAAACAGAAAGCCGAGAAAAAAAAACCCCTCTGTATTTTAAAAAAGGCAATTCAGACGAGCCCAAACTTTAAGTGAGAATTTCTTCAACCATCCAAATGCTCTAGAGATTTTTGTTCTCCCTGTTCACAACCAGTTGTATAATAGACCTACTCGATACTGTTTTCCTCCGTGTGTGTGAAGTAATGAATCATTGATTATGTGACTTGTTATGTATTCTATTAAACACTAGAGAATAAAACATTCACTCCTTTAATTATTCCTTTTGGCTCCTGGGTATGGATTGGCATGAACACTGGTCTGATTTCATTTAAGGGGTTAAGGAGTGGGAATGAATGCTTCCC